CTTTTAGGAAAAAAGTTATATGAAGTACTGGTGATATTTTGACCCCATCTATACATTCCCGAGAGGAAAAGAGGAAGTCCAAGGACACCCTGTATATCAGTACCAATTCCCTACGAATACATCGAAAGTAAAAATATTTTACGTAATGGTATTTATGGGTTTTGTTGTGAGTTCATATAATGGAGGTTGTCAGTTACATTAATAAGATCGAAAGCAAGAATATCAATATACATGAACATCCAACAAGAAATTGATGGATGTAGCCGTTACTTCGTGGTAGGAAATCATAATAAAGAAAAGAGAATTGAAAGTTTCATTTATCTTTTCTTCATTATCAAACGAGACATAAATAACCACTCCATCTATATAAATAAAAACAATCTCCAACTGATGGTAAATGGCCAACGTTGTACTTATTAAAAATGAACCCTTACAATTGTAATTCTGAAATCTCATGAAAGAATTTCTCTCCAGACATTCATTTTATAACATTTGGAAATTTAAATAAAATTTCAGTATGTTTTGTATGTCAAATGGGAAGTAAGATATTTTCATCATTCATAATTTCACCTTCATACTTTTCAAATCCGAAATCTATACTTATAAATGCAAAAGTCACTCACTTAACACTCACTCATTTATTTTCGTTTCTCCATAATGATGAGTCCTAGGAAGCTAAAATACGGTATATAGATGCTTCTCAGGGCTTAGATGCGCGCTAAGAAAGTATTCCCAAATATTTCAATCAGTGCGTCCCCAGTGGGGGTATGAGGGACGCGTTTACATATAAAAATTGCCTTTTGATCAATGTTTCTCCATAACGGTATATGTTCGGAGGCTGAAATTCCGTATGTCGCTTCGTTTTATGCTCCAGGTGTGTAATAAAAAATGATTTTAAAACATTCCAAGTGAGACGTCAGCCGCGGGAAAAAAGGCGCATTAATAAAATAATTTTCAATATATTATTTATCTTATCTATTCATAATGTGATCAATATGGCCCCTCACAACATGTGATTTAAATAAATATTTCCTACGATATTACAGATTTAAAGTGCAAAGACATAGCAGTTGCGGCGGTACCGTGCCAATTATATGTCGCTCTTTCAAGAGTAACCTCTGAACAAAACATGTTTGCATTGTCTACTGACGAAAAAGCTGTGAACGTTATATAAGAAGACATTCTGTAGTATATTTAATATCAGCATTGCACCCATGCGAAGCCGGTGCGAATCGCTAGTTGACTGTATATTAACTTCCTCAGGATCACATTTCATAATGTTTAATGCACACAACAATACACTTTCTAAAATGTAAATGCATTTGTTTCTATTCGAACGTCAACAGCAGTAAACAAAGTGACCATGATTTAATTTTATCACCTATTCGAGTCCCACCGTTCAATCAGTTGAGATATCGAACCAGTGTTCAACTAAGATTATGTTTGTTCTTTGTGCAGCATCTTATGTTTTACTCTTCCTGGTTTTCCTGAAAATTGTTTCGAAACTGACCCGTGCTCGATGTAAAAGTAAAGTGTGTCTGGTGGGAAAGGTCGCTTTGGTCACCGGAGGAAGTTCAGGTGATTATTTTGTTCGTGTTATTGTCGCAACTCAGTAGCTTATTAACGAGAGTATTTTATTCGCTGTTTCACCCATTCATTCATTCATCCAAATAATGAAAGGACTCACTGAAACACTTAATTAGATATTTATTGTATCGAAACAGTCAAATGTTAATCAAAAATACAATAAATCACCAAAAACTTATGCTGTCACCCAGCAGGATCGAAGAAAAGGAAATGTGCTGCATGGCTGGAACCTCTTTCTGAAGATCAATAGATATTGAACTGAATTTCTTAATACTGATTCTCAATAATCTTGACCTCCCTCAATATTTATGAATCTTTCACGTATAGTCAGTGTGCATACTTGAAGACTGGCTATAAATCAAATCATCTAAACTGACACCTGTCGGATATAATCCAACGCCCTTCGTGGTATTAGCCAGGGGAGTAGTTTTTTTCTGATAGGTGTCAGTCCATTAACCTACTGTGTAGGGTGTTGAGACTGGCCTGAACGAATTGTTCTTTTAGATGATTTGGTTGAACATTTATGAAGATTTATACGCTGACATTGCAACTTTGATCCGGTTACTGTACTGAGGTATAATACTAAGAATGCAATCTGTTTTATATTTCTATATCCTGTGATCGAATCAATTTCGATGTCTATGAACTTTGAATATTAAAAGGTGGAATTCTGAATACTGAGTGTTTAGAATATTGAAGTTGAGGTTGGAACATCTTTCAATTCATGTATTCGCTTCAATGAATTATTTCATGATTGCTTCCATATTTGACATTATAGCTGAAGAGTTCACCCTGGAGTTGTCTTGTGTGATTTCAAGTATGAAATCGATGATACAGATCATTGAAAAAGTAGAATAATATAACAACATAACATAGGGATTAAACATTGAAAGAATTGCCACTTTCAGATTCATGGTTAATTTTAACTGACCTATATAATCTAACAGACACTATGTTATTTCCAGGATGACCAGTTGATATTATCAATATAACTCATTTCGACCAGAAAGTTCCTGTTCAAAATCACAAGTTGAAATTTCATGTGTAATAACATCATTACTTTTCAGGAATTGGTTATGAGATAGTTTTGAAACTTGCATCACGAGGATGTAAAGTAATAGTAGCTGATAAGGTAATAGACGAAGATATAAAAGTAAAAGTCGAAAAAGAAACCAACAATCCAAATATAATTTTCGAATATGTTGATTTAGCTTCATTCAAGTCTGTGAGAAAGTTGACAGAAAAAATAAATAGATCTGAGGAAAAACTGGATATTCTGATCAACAATGCCGGGATACCAAGAAGTTCTGAAATACCAACTGAAGATGGATTCAACCCTACCATGCAGATCAATTATTACAGCCATTTCTTACTCACCCACCTATTGGTTGGTAAGTGATGAATACGAATTCTCATAAGTAGAAATAGGAGTAATACCAATTAAAGCGTGTTATCGGTCTGTAATTCATACGTAGATTTTCGGAATATCGATATTTGAGTCTGTCAACGAGTCCGTTTCTGTGAAAAGTGCTTTCTTCTGTAAACATAATGCTCTTCGAAAATCCTCAATTCATATCACGATGGAGAAGTAGAAAGCCAAAACCTTCAATTTTAACAAGTTCCAATGACTGGAATTTGATCAAATGAGCGAATGAATCTCATTTACGTACTGTCATCGATGACATGGATGGATTCAGCTCATTCCGTGACAAAAAGTCGTACTTTTATGAAAGAAGTATGTGTTTTTTCTCATGATGTTATTCATATTTGGCACTAACGAGCCGATAAGGCAGTGTTCCATGTAAGTGAAATTTTACTTCTTTCAATTATTATATTCTGTAGGAATCCTGTGAATGATATCTGATTCGATTTCATTACGAACGTTTAGAATGCAACGGAATGTTTTCCATATGATTCAACATTCATATATAAAAGCTGTTTTGAAAAGGTTTTTCCTTTCGGTTTGTATCTATACATCTTTTTATAGACTAAATCCTTGGAATTGATTGTTTTTTCCGTTTCTTTGGGAGAATCCCACATTAGTTTCTATAGAGATGAAGAAGAAGTAGAAATTCAAAAACGTTCCTTCCTAAAAATATACCCTTTCAATTGAACTAAGATATTTCAAGAACCCAAATAACAATAACATTAGTCATGTAGATTTGCTACTACATTTGTTTTTCTTTCAGAATGTCCATGATCTTCCTGAAAGTAATTTGAGAGAATAAAAAAAATATTTCGAATATTCTATGGCGATATATTCATTCAAACTATTCAAAGAGGCAAATGTACGCAACTATCAAACGGATACATTTCCTTCACTTTCCAACTCTTCTACCGCCCAATTCTTCCAATTTCAACCATTTGTTGTTTTTTGTAGTATTTACGTTCTTTGCATTTTATATTTCATACAAAATTCAAATATTCTCAGACTTATAGTTCTGACAGCGTTTCAGCTCTTCTAGATATTATTCCTTTCAATTTCTGTTCTCCTAGTATTCTAATCATGTCAATCTCCCGGTTATCCTGGTTTAAGTTTGACGATAGTGGTGTCACGAAGTGTTTTGGTGATGTTTTGAATACATTGGAGCTCCTGGAGACACCCTACATTTTGTTTTATGAAAGAGAGGACATTGGCAGATCAAGATCTTCAGTTGATGTGGTGCTGCAGGTTTTCCTGCAGCTGAAAAACCAAATGCGCCACTTTAATTAATGAAGTTGCCCCGGAGCGTAAATTAATTTTTATTGTTTCATAATTTCATGATTTGTATTACTTTCTTTAAATAATCAATATTTTATGTTATCGATTGAAAAAAAAATCCCAGCTCGCACTAGTTTTTACTTTTGCGAGCTGAGCTTTTGGGGTTTTTTTCCGTTATAGGCTGTCGCCGCAGCAATAGTTATTATAACAGATTTTAAAACAGATTTAATGTTTATGTTACCGTATAATCAACAATTAATATATTTTCCTGAGTGTTCTTGATATAAATGATATAAATAAGAAAAATAACTGGTTTCAATATGGAATCTTGCGAAGCTATGAAAATGAAGGAATTGAAGAAATGAACCATTACTTTTCAGGTCTTTTGAAGAAATCTCCTGCAGCAAGAATAATTTTCACCAGTTCCGCAAATGCTTACTTTCACCGCATTTCACCAGAAAATATTGGACCCCTTGAAATAAAGGAGGAAAAAATCCCTTTGTTCAACTATATGAATTCCAAGTTTTGCCTAGTCATTGCCTCTGATATTTTTGCCGACTTACTCAAAAAATACAATATAACTTCCAATGCCTTTCATCCTGGCGTAGTTCGAACTGATATTGTGAAAAAATATTATCAACAGAATTTGACTTGGTGGGAGCGAATTTCCATGCCTCTGATCACACTTCTCTATTTATCAATTGGAAAGGTAAGGATCTTCTGCAAATTGCTGTCATATTTTTGGTTTCTAATCAAATCATCGAACAAAATATAGAATATAAAGAATGAGTTAGATGTGATTCGGTAGCTGATTTGGAAGACTAGACCATTTGTCTTCAAGTCAGCAGTATATCAGATATCTGCTATTTTTCTGTAAAAAGTATATGTTCGTCAAAAAAAAGGTACATAGTGTGTCTAAAATGAGTTTTTACTCATTTTTGACGCACTATGTAATATAATTGTTTTTCATGATCATATATATTTATTGGAAAACTATTACAAAAATATTAACATCTTTTTACAAAATCAAATTAAGTTTTCTAGCTTTCTCTGCAGCAAACAAATCAATTACCTCCTCGGTCAATTCTACGGTGGATTGACATTAACGCCAAACCGTTTAGTCGTTTCTGGCTCATGGAGTTTTGAGGCGTTTCAGAGAAGAGAAAGTCCTCTCAGGGGTACATGTGGAAGCAGGTTGTGTCGCCAAGATCTTTGAAAATTTGTACACACATTGCCGTAAGGTTTTTTCATTGTGTTTCGAGGATTTTTTTTTCAATATTCTCTTTCAAATACTTGGTTCGTTTTGCCAAGGACTCAATAGAATTTCTAACGGATTTTATAATTATAATAGTATCTGTATCTGTAAAGTGGGGAGGGTGAGTGTAGGCCCACAGCACTTAGGCCACATCCTCCTAAGAAGTTGTCCTCTTAGGTCATCGTCGATCCTGTCCTTTCCAGGAAGGTGGGCAGGTCCCTTGTTCGTGTCATCATGGCTTAAAACAGGTTGGAGCCTGGCTCCCTTACCCTTTCGACTGATATTCGTCAGAGAGACAAACGGGTCAAGACTGATTTATGGGATGGCGGCATAAATGTCCTCAGACAACAGTACTGCCCTTCACGTGGACCCCTACCTGGCTGGGGTGTTTGGATGAAGATATTGTTCATCTTTCAACGGAGGACATGAGGGCCTCACTCGACAGAGCGTCTCCCTTTCTCCCTTTCAGGGATCCTCACTTTTCTGGCCGGAGAAGATTTCAATATTCCCATGGTTATCGCCTGAGTCTTGTCCGGGTTCACTCAGATCTTCCATTCGAGGTACCAGCGCTCGAGGTCGTCAAATGCACGTTGCATCTAGACGAAACCGAGCTCTCGACCCATGGAAGATGGTCACTAGGAGACATCTCCTTTATAACAGAAGGTGTAGGCCAAGACTCGCCAAACACACACTCTCTCATTGACGATAACTCCTGGCACTCGCATAGGACATGCCTGACAGTTTCATCTTCCAGTTCACACATCCTGCATAGATGTGTGTCCACTAGCCCCATATTATGGAGGTGTTTTCTCAGTTGACAGTGTTACTGTTGAGCGTAGATTTTTCCTGGTCATCGCTAGATATTTCTCCAGCGCCAGCTTCCCAGGGTCGCCCAGGGTGATCCTGGCAAGATAGCATCCTTTGATTTCATCCCATCTCTTCAGGGATTGAGCGTGGGTATGACATTTGGCTAGTTCCGCAATTGTCGAAGTCATCAGGTGTTAGGTGCCACTGGGTCCTAAAATTCTCAGTCCAGCCGCTTCCTTGGCTAAAGAGTCGGAGATTACCTTTATTCCCGTCGTGCCCTTCAATCCATCCCAGGATAATGTTATTATCTACCGAAGCTTTGGCTGAATCTTGGTGGCACTCTAGTTCTAGGCCTGAGGTAACACGTCTGTTCTAGGCTAATAGGGCTTGTCTGCTATCAGTGGAGATTGTTATTTTTTCCCAGAAATTCTTTTCTTGGTTATTTCTCTTGTGGCAATTGAGATACCAGCCAGTTCTGTTTGAACCACGCTGATATTTTTCCCATTTCCCACTCAATTCTTAGGCTTAGTGATAGGGAGTACACTCCATATCCTGAGCCTTCTTTGGTTTTTGAGCCATCTGTATATATACGTATTGCATTTGTAGCATCTGACTCTGTGTTCTGTTTTATTTGTATTTTGTAGGGTTCATTAAACACAAACTTGGGTACAATTGCATCACTGGTTGCCTGCAGCAGAGGTTGCGTATGGCCATTAACGCAACCTCCTTAACGTACAGGTCCAGAGGAGACGAACCAGTTATTAATTCCATTGCCGCGGTTGGTGTTATTCTCATGCTCCTGTGATGTTCAAACAAGCCAAACGTATTTGACATGATTTTTAGATGGCCGTTGCTTGTAGAACTTTCGTGGAGGGATCAATCCCCCTTGATCCCCCCTGGCTACGGCCTTGAAACTGACTATGAGTGATTAAAAGTTATTTAACCTATTTTAATTTGTATATTCGCGCTCACTGACTAGCAGCTGAGGTGACATCTACACCCGCGACAAAACGGGACAGACCTGATACGAATGTCAGAGTGTTCGCAGAGTGTTTTTCTATAACAATTCTCGCAAATATTGTGTCACTATTACAACGGCTGTTGAAATTCGCTGAGAGACTGGGAATTGCAGAACCCAGGGGTGTCTCTCTCAACTGCCGTACATTATTCAAACTTCTAATTTCACGCTAATACCAAACAAAAGGATAAAACATAAGCATTACATGGAAATCTCTAAGGCACTGTTAGAGCGGTGTCTGTGCCAAAGTAGTGATTCACATTGGATTTGAATCGATGGAGATTAAATCCATTTGGAGAAACGTTCTCAGGAAATGTATTCCACATGAACTTCAGTTCTCCAAATGAAAGAGTTCTTGAACTCTGAAGAAGGTGTCATCTGAGCTCCATAAAGCATCAAAAATTGCTGAGGTGTGTACAGTTCTCTGGTTCTAAACAATGTTCCAGGCTTTTGAGAAGCAGCCTTTGCAATTCTAAAGACATGATTTTGCCAAGATATATTGGTGTCCGTTTTAACCCCAACAAACATCGAAGCAGCAAGCAGAATTGGCTTTCCTGCCATTGTTATATCCGGTTCAGAGACATTCGTCTTGATGAAGAAAACCGATTCCTGCGTTTCTGTGGCATTGACCTGAACCTGATTACAGTTCGGGTGACAGTCATCACCCGAAGACGATTGTAGATACTAACAATCGAAATGTCGTGAACTAACGTGGCTTGGAATCTCTTAACTTTTATTTTGTTTCAGGGATTTCAAATCATTTTATATATTAGACAATGGAAGTCCGAACTAGTGAAATTCATCATGAAACATTGTCAATCACCTTCAAATGAAATACATATACTAAACAGGACTATGATTTTGGAAAATTATTACCATTCAGTTTCATCTGAAATAATAGTAACAGGATATTCCAAGGCAATATGAAAATTTAAAAATTATATCATGTATGAATTCAAAAGAGACATATTTTGCGAGGGGGGGAGTTTAGTTTTTCATATTTTTTGAACTCTTCCACATTTTTGTTTTATAATTTGGAAGTTGAAAGCTTTTCCCAAATAACATTACTTTCTTTTTATTTTTGATTCATGTACATTGAAAGTTGTGGTGATTTCAATTTTTCAATATTTGTTTGTCTATCTATCTATAGTAACGACACAGAAACACCACTGGATGCTGTACAATTGTACTGGAATTATTGATAACATTAACCTCCTCGGTCCTACAGAAGAAAACTATTTCAAATGTTTATCTTTTTTCTTGTATTATTCTCTCAAAAAATAATAATTGTCAATTGAAAAAAATGATTAAAAAAATTAAGAGAAGCCAGCTAGCTGGACACCAGGGTCCGGTGTAACAATTATTATAGTTCCTTATTAGTCAATGGGCTATGATTGAAGACTGGCAGTAAACAAATCTAAAGAAATGAACTTTAAACGTTCAAGCCAGTCTCGGATATACCAATTCCTTCCTTATTCAGAGGAATCGGGCAAATTTCGGATATGCAGTTAGTTAGTACCTCGTCCACTAGATGGAGTGACATTTTGTTGTTCGCTTCAACTTAGGAAGAGGAATGAAATACTCTGAGAGAATTCCGATAATCCATTATGTAATATCATTGACTTGGTTGATGATGGACACCATCTTGCACTGACGAGTGGCTAATGAGCCCGAAACCGGTCTGCAAGTGTGCCCGTTCCGAAATTGAAGATTGACTCTTTCAGTTGTATTGCCAATTGTACATGCAGGAAATTTTCTGTGAAGATTCCTGCACTGACGCCTGTCGGATATAATCCAACGCCTTTCGTGGTATTAGCCAGGGGAGTAGTTGCTTTCTGATAGGCGTCAGTCCATTCAACCTACTGTGTAGGTATATTCGAGACTGACTTGAACGTTTAAAGTTAATTTCTTTAGATTTATTATAGTTTCTTTTGTGACAAAATCAACAATACAAAACATCTCAAGAACGAAATTCATAAAAACATTGACGTTTTGGTTGAATACACAGAAACACATTACATGTACCTACTACGTTGATATCGACTTTTTTCTTTACAGTTTTCGTTGCGACATCCCAAAAGTTTATTATTTTCTTCTACAGCACATATTGGTAAATGCTTGTTCGACGACTTTCTAACGTCAGCTGGGCGAATAAGTTTACACCCAGATGCGTTGTTTGATTGAAAAAGATAACCCTCTCATGTGCCATTGAAAATACTCATTTCCCGCACTCAATGAAAAATAACATTTTTTTTGTTTTCTTTCAAACACAAATTTATTGTTCAATATTGCTCAATAGCTTGAGCAAAACGTTCACGAATCGACAATGAATACAATAACCACCACGTTTCGATTTTTTTCAAGAAAATTGAAATAATTCATGTTTCTCACCAGATTGACGCAAAAAATCCAATTTAGGTAATTTTTTAATACATCCAAAAGAAAAATCCAGAAATAAGTTACGAACGTAAATAAAACTGTCCGAAAACTGATTTGTCAAAAGCAATATTTGTTAAAATCATAAGAATAATGAACCCTCATATCATGATACATTTTTTATTTAATTTGGTGCGTTATATACGTTTCAGATGAGATAGGTTTTTCATGAAGGGTGAAAATTTTTCATTTTTTAAAAACGATTCGAGCCTCATTGCAACAAGAAATGAAAAATTGATTTCAAAATTCAAATAAAAAAAAATAAATGGTTCCAATAACCCATTTTATTTCTAGAGTCCGGAAGATGGAGCCGAAATTGCGATCCACATTGCTACTTCGAATAAGATGGAACTTATTACTGGGAAGTTTTTCATTGCCACAGTTCCTTTCATCAAACCTAGAGGCACTTTCAACAACGAATTGCGTGACGAGATTTGGAGATTATCTGAAAACATTGTGAAACTCACGCCTGCTGAAAAGTTGAAAAGTGTCGGTGTCAAATGATTTAATCAGTTTTCAATTCATTCTGTTACATGTGAAGGAAAAGTTAGGGTTTGTTAAGGTCATTGTACCAATAAACATCTAGATTTTCTATTCGATCTACTTTACTAAATCATTTATGGGTTTATATTTATCGAAGAAGACTAGATGATGCAACTAATTTTCCTTTACTTTCCGTATTGCAATACTGAATGTGAGTTGCACGAAGGATTCGAAGCTTTATAACTTCTATTTAATTATCTGCGAGCGCTTTCGACAACTGGTCGTACTGTCATCATCTAGGCACTACTCAAACTGAACGTGTCATCCTGTTGTATGTCTGTATATCCCGTTTCGAACTTTGTCTTCTTCTTTTCCATAGTTGTTTATTTTTTGTGTTATCTTCGTGTTTGGCTTGTATGTGATGTTGATGTTCAGTGGCTTGAAGACTTTTGTTAGTTTTTTGGTTTGGTGTCCTACGTACGTAAATGCTGTCCATCGTTGTGTTGTTTTGTCTGTTGGGGTGGCTTGCTCCTTGTTCTGTATTTTTTGTTTGATTCTGTTTTCTAATTTATCTATTGTTTTTTGGATGTATCCGTTCTCGTTCGCTATTTGCTATATGATTTTCCGTTCTTTGTTTCGGGCTTCATTGCTGAGTGGTATCCTTAGCATTCTATATATGAATGTCACATCAACATCACATTCAAGCCAAACACAAAAATAACGCAATTAATAAACAACTATGAAAAAGAAGAAGACAAGAAGACAAAAACCAAAACGGGATATATAGTATACAATGTGTAATAAGTACGCTACAAAATGCCTAAGTGCCAACTGTCATCTGTCTCGGGGGTCACCGATTAAACCAGTCAAGCCCAGAGCGTGTATGATTCCACATCCTAGCCCTAGCCATCCTGTCCATATATATATATTCAATAACACACAATGCTCGGACTGACAAAAATTCTATATCGGCCAAACCAAGAAAAAACTGATTCAAAGGTACTATGAGCACAAAAAGGCATACATGAATCCAATAGTATATGAATCAAACCTCGCAACAGACGCCATACAAAACAAACATAATTTTCCCCCACCAGAGAACATAAAACTCATAAAACAAGTCAATAAGGAAAACCGCATGGACATTTGGGAAAACTAAAACATCCATGAATTTAACAGTCAAAAATCACTTATCGAGGAACGAGTACAAATCAAAACACAACAAGACCTAACATTCAATATATTAAACAACTCAATATACACTCCTAGAAACAGTATACCTAGAGAAGATCCAACACAAAGAATAGTACCTGATGTAACCCAAATACAGGCAAATTTACCTAAAATACCTGGAGTACCTGAATTGAGGCGTTCGGGCCGTATCAAAAGACATACAACAGTATGACACGTTCAGTTTGAGTAGTGCCTAGATGATGACAGTACGACCAGTTGTCGAAAGCTCTCGCAGTTAATGCAGTCAAGCTCCTGGAAAATAATTCCATGGAAATCATTAACCTTTCTAGATTTCTAGATGGCATTTCAGGTTAGCTTCCCAAATTTCTGCTACCGCAGTTGTCGGTTGATTGGTTAAACCACCAACACTGATATAAAAACTTGGCAAGTTGACTTAGGTGTCACACCAATAGGTGGTTCCACTTATGTTTCGCTTGCGTTTACGCAGCTTTTTTTATCAAGTACTTTCTTGGTTTTTTTCTAATTTTATCTTCAATCGAGGACCGCCTGCCCGGTACTGACGATGCCCAATAGGCTGAAACAGCTGTATACCGATGGCTCTTACATTGGAATCAATATGGGAATGATCAAAGAGTACTTATATATTTATTTTTTGATTTTTATGGAATTATTTTCCAGCAGCTTGACTGCATTAACCTTTCTAGATTTCATATCATATTCATTTCAAGGTCAAATTTAGTTGACTGGTTATTATATAACTATACTTACCCAAATTCAATCTTAATTCAAGTTATACAAATTTATGCACCCTAACATCACGTAGTATTAGGTATGAAATTTCCGAAACAGATAATTCTTCTTCTAATGAGAATAATCAAATTATATATAATTATTCTATAAGATAAATTCCACATTCAACCCCTAAATTACCTAATATATTTCGTGACATAAAAAGTATTAGAATTTCTAACAAGATTTATAAAACAATTTCAACCCTTTATCCTAAAATCAAAACCCCTCTCAGCAACAAAAAAAAATCTAATGTTAAAAAATATAGTGTACCACGTTCTTCTTGTAATTCAATTTACATTGGTGAGACCAGTCGTAATCTATCTGGAAGAATCACTTCACATAAAAGTGACTGCAGACTAAACAAACGTTCCTGTGGACTAGCTGCACATTTTATCTCTTCAGATCATGTTATGGATTATCAAAATACTACAATTTTAACAGTTGAAAATAATGAATTCAAAAGGCGTTTTCTAGAAATGGTTCACATAAGTAAACATGATAATAATTAAAACAAAAAATCAGAAATACAAAATTCAAGTCAAATTTACAATTATATTTTAACTTTTGATGAATAAAATTGAACAAATAATTTCAATATCATATTACTAATAATTTTTCACTTACACATACATTTAAATCTCACTGTATGTGTAAATATTATAATAATCACATTTTCTCTGGTGCTGTAACAACATTTTCAACGTCAAATTTTGCATTTGACTTTTCGTTTTTATGTTTGGATTTATATGCTTTTTTTTATATTTTATACTAACTTTGGTGATTCTTTGGTAACATATCTATTACTGTATAATATTCGCATGATCTTTATTTTGTAGATATTCGTGATAAAGGAAAAAAATATATTTACGAAAGCTTGAATAACTAAAAATAGTGTTTCCATAGCCCGCAGAAATAATTTATAGTTATAGAAAAAACGAGTACTTTCTAGTTTTTCTCATTTTGTCTTCAATCGAGAACCGCTTGTCCGGTACTGACAATGCCCAATAGGCTGAAACAGATGTCTACTGGTGGCTCTCAAATTGAAATCAATATGTGAATGATCAGAATGGTACTTATTATTATCAATAGGAGTTTCAAAAAGGTTTTGAAGCTTTATAACTCCTATTCAATTATATGGTGGGGAGAAATTATGTTTGTTTTGTATGGCGTGTACTCGTCGTACCTTTGGGTAAGTTTTTTCTTGGTTTGGCATATATAGAATTTGTTGCAGTCCGAGCAGTGTATGCTATACACTCTCTTTAGGTTTTTGTCGTCCTCTTTTTCCCACCAGAGAACATAAAACTCATTAAACAAGTCAATAAGGGAAACCGTATGGACATCTGGGAAAACTTAAACATCCATATATTTAACAGTCATAATTCACTTATCGAGGAACAAATACAAATCAAAACACAACAAGACCTAACATTCAATATATTACATAAAACATATAAGACATTCTACGAATGTGTATCGAAGGCATTACGTCTTATGAATCAAGCTTTTTTCTTCGCTGTCAAAAAATTAGCGTTCTACAGTCGTTATCAATTTTCGCAAACTCTACCGTGTATTCATAGCAAAAACAATCTAGAATCAATACACTCCGCCGTCTTGAAAGCAGCGAGAATTATTAATTGTAAGAAATAGCGAGTTCTAGCTCGAAGAACTTGATTAATTTTCTGAATATATGCTCAGAAGGTATTTCGTAATTTGTAAAACGCGGCTTCGAGTGATTAGTTAGTATAGTCGGCGCTGTCTGACTTTCTATTATTCACGAAATAATCATTAATAATCATTAGTGAATGAGCTAGCTGCACAGTAGGTGATGATGAATTATTTATGAATTTAAGAAATCAATCTTATCCATGTATCATCATACCTGGATATGATAGAATGATGGCGAAATTTCAGATACAGATTCCTGATTATTTATCCCATATGAAATATATCCAGATGAGTACAAAAGTACAAGAATTCAGAATAGAAGTTGCAATATTGAAAACATATACAATACAGTGAAAACAAAATAAATCAGTTTAAAATGTCTTCTCTCTGATTCATTTGCTGAGTATAGAACAAAGACTGGCGCGTCGATTTTGTCTTCAACGTTCTCATGACAACCACCTTTAATATTCTTCTAGACCTTCAGTCGTTTAAAAATTACTTGTGAATGAGTTCAGCTTGAGACCACTTGATGTTATGTTGATGAGTCCAAACATGCTCCTGAATTGCTGGTTTCTCGTCAATGTGTGTGTTTCTTGTGCTCTGCAATGCGAACTTTCAAAGGCCTCTTAGTTTCACCGATGTATGATTCTCCGCACTCGCAGGGTATCCGGTATATGCAATTCTTGGAATCGCAGTCCGCGTTTGGTGGCCTGGCGTTTATGATGCTGCTACGAATAGTGTTCCCAAATCTGAAGCAGGTTCTGATGTTATACTTGGACCCAATTCTTCTTATGCTTTCCGACAATCCTCTGATGTAGGGAACTACAAATAATGGTTGTGGTGGCTTCTCTTCCTTGTGAGGCTGTTGCTGTCTTCTAGCCAAAGTCTGTTACACCATCACTTTGGAGTAACCATTCCATTGAAGGTCATTTTTGGTAATGCCTAGTTTCTTTTCGAGACCTTTCCTTGTATTACAGAGCCCAAAAGCACGGTCTACTTGAGTCTTGATGATTTCTTCCTTAGTCGATTGATGGTGGTTGGATTTCTGGTCAAGATACTGTACCTGGTGAGTGGGTTTTCGGTATACAGATGTTTCCCATTTAGTGTCGGTCCTCTTCACCAACACGTCTAAGAATGGCAATTCATGGTGGACTTCCTTCTCCATTGTGAAAGTGATGAAAGGACTTACGTTGTTAATGTGCTTCAGAAAGGTGTCTAGTCCTGCATTCACATGGTTCCATATTATGATTCCGTGTTAGGAATCACACATTAAAAGGTAAGACCTCGTTAGTCCTTAGCTCGCACAAGTTTCTCAACTTCTTAGAGTTGTCGTTCGTATGGGGGGCGACAGCTGATTAACGGAAAAACATATTTTTTCTCAACAGATGTCGTCAACGTACCTCAACCATACTTAGGGCTTCTTGTGGTCTTAGATAATGAAAGTCCGAACCAATGAATTGAATAT